CGCCCTTTCTTTTGGGAATGAGTCGGATCCCGCAACCCTTTCATTTGGGAATGAGCCGGATCCCATCGCCCTTTCTTTTGGGAATGAGCCCTTCCTTCCCTGCTGACTTGGGAACAAGGTCGGCACTAACCAGGTGCTGCAGGGAGGGAGGAAGCGGGAATGACATTCCTTGCAGGAAGCTCCAGGCAGATCCTTCTGCACTGAGTGAGCAGCGCAGATCTGAGCAGGCCTCAGGTTTGCTTCTTTGGGTCTATCACGAGATATCTCCGCTCTCCTCCAACGTCCTGGGGTGTTTTATCAACTACAGAGGGGCGACCGAGGCCCCTGGCCAGGCGCTGGTCGAGCAGAAAGGGAACCTGTGTGTGTTGATCTCAAATGCCGTGTCCTGCGTGGCCGGCCACGGGAACGTCATCTTTAGCACTCGGGATTCACAGGATGAGTCCACGGGAGCCCAGTTGTCCAGGTATTGCCAGCAGGCTCTTCCGATGGCGAGCTACATGGTAGGAGGGAGAAAGATGAATTTTGTCGGCGTTGGGACATTTTTCAGGGGCTTTCCTCTCCATACGGATGCGTCAGTCTTCTTGTCAACCCTGTTTAGCAGCTCTGACTGCCCTACAAGGCCAAAAACGCGTGTCAAGGTAGAGCTAGCACAAAGGACTGCAAACACAGCCTTGTTTTCCTCTTTCTCATCAAAGCTTATGTAGGTCCGGCTTTTTCTGAACACCCATTTCATGTTCTAAAACCAGAGCCTTCTCCCACAGTTTTGAGTAGGTGTATTTGCTTTCCCACCTCCCCYGAACCGAGACTCCGTTTTCCGTCTAATTCAAAGGGGTTTATACACTTTTTTTTTGTCTTGGGTTTTTTCCTGCCTTGTRCCAAGCCAGAGACGTGGAAGTCACCACAGATGGAGTAAACCTCCAAGGGACCGACACCTGCACGATCCCTTCAAGTGCGGTGACCTGGTCTGGCCCAAATGCAGGCGCGAAGCGCGAATCACCTCCCAGCTTCTCCTCTTGGATCACGTTGGTAGAGCTGAGTTGAGGTCGGAATGCAGCACTGCACAAGGGAGTGCTGCGCTGGCCCTAGGATTCCTTCTTCCCACCTTCCCAAGCGAGAGGGATGTCTGCAGTCYTGAGGAGAGTCGCCCTGTGCTCGCAGTCCTGCGCTGTGCGGTCCATTCTCTCACGGTGCCTTTCTCCTGTCCGTGCTCCTCCTCTACGCCTTTCTCAGGTGTGTTTTTATGTCTTCTCAGCTTCTGGACACTTGGGAGGCTTTTGTGAGCCAGCAACAGAAGGTGTCAGACTTCATCACTTCCCGGCGCCTCACCATCGTTGAGGAGCTCGGCGCGTCACTGCAGAAGAGCGAGCAGGAGCTGCAGGAGCTGCTGGCGACGGTGACGTCCGGACGCTTCGTGGATCCCGCGCAGAACCCCTGCGCTGTTGAGAAGGAGCTGCAGGAGCTGCAGTGCTCCCTGCAGAGCACGGACGTGCGCGTGGCCGAGCTGCGTCGCTCCCAGATGATCCTCACAGGCAAGAGGGCGAGGGGCTCCGGCACCTCCTCGTCTTGCGTGGCTGGTGGCACCTTGCCCTGTGCAGGAACACGAGTTCCACCTCCCTACGCTTACGTCCCGTGCTTCTGCTCTAGGGGCTCTTTGTGGTGTTTAATAGACAGGGCTGGAARCGGGGCCAAGACTTGCCCGGAGCCCCCTGATTCTGATGTCTCGTGTCTGCAGGTGACTGCACCGACGTGTCCCTCGTGGCYGAGACTCGCGCGGTCATCGACGCGTCCGGACGCGTGTGGCGGCTGCTCCACGTCATCTCCGAGCAGATCCGGGACTGGAAGTGCCTCAGGTTCACCAAGGTGAGGACCGTCCCTCCATCGGAACCACCCTCAGCTGCGCCGCGCTCTTCCATTGCACGGTGTCCTCACCGCGACTTCCATCCTGATCCAGCTCCGGCTGGAAGCTGCTCTTCCAACTTGGAATTCTCTTCCACTTTTTGTCCTTGTTTCTCAGTGTCCSTCAGTCCCAGACTGCAGCCTCTTTGTAGCCCGTTCCTCAATGCTAAACCGCGGCTTTACTCTTAAATGGGATAAATCGTTGCTCGTCAGAGCTCACGAGAGAGAAGTAATGGAAGGGGCGACTCTTGAGGCTGTGCTCACACGGGACTCCATGCACACAGCCATCCTTTTTGGGGCAGTGAGAACAGAAAAATGTTAAAATGAGGTTTCTAGGAGGACCGAGGAGAGTGAACTGAGTGAACTGCTTGCAGGTCACCCGGAGACAAGCACTCTATTAGATACTCAGAATAAATATTTATTTATTCTGAATAACATTTATCAAAAAAAGCAGTTCAAAATCATTCAGAAGGCTAATTTGATAAAAATATACACATAAAAATTAATCATTTTAGAAACATAGTAGAATGTGAAATCCTATTGGAGGATCTGCAGGGCTTTGGGTAGCTGTGAGAGGTGGTGTGAGTTGGTAGTGTGAGAGGTCGTGCTCTCTAAGGAAACAATCATTGGYGGGAATTTCCAATAAGTTATTTCATTAGGATTCACCATCGGATATTTTAAGGCTTCTTCCATACAACCTCCACCTTTTTTTTAATGATGAATGATTCAGAAGTACTATCTCTATCAGCAGTAGATATTTGAGGAAAATTGAWAAACTGCCACAAATATCTAGATTCTAGTAGAATGTAATTTTTATGAAGAAATTTAAATGCAAACTATCCAAACTACTCACATTGCATTACCATTTTAAACTGGTCTCAGTGCTATGGTCGTGGAAGGTGGTGCCTATTTTTGAAAGTACTCCAAGAGGATCCTGGAAACTGTAGACTAGGAAATTTGACTTTAGCTCTGGGCACGCAGATAGAAAAATGTAATAGAAGATTGCCATGCTGGAAACGTTCAGCAATAATGTGGCAAAGTTCAACGGGAGACAAGCTAGAAGCGGAATTGATTTTATTTAGAAGCAGAGGAATTTCACTGACTTACGGACTCTTTCCATAGGGTCACCAGCACAGACACGGGTGCATCCCAGCAGTGAGGCACCAAGATGCTCCTCTGTGTGCCCAGGTTTCCTTGCACACAGGGCATGGGGGTGACGACTCTTGAGTGCTCCTCAGGTTTCTTGGGTTCTTCTTAGGCTGGTGGCCACATCCTATGCTTGGACATTCCACTTCAGTCCTTGTCACAGCTGACAGGGACCCATATCTCCATCCATCCATCCACCCACTCATCCATCCATCCATCCATCCATCCATCCATCCATCCACCCACCCATCTACCCACCCATCTACCCACCTACACATCCATCCACCCCCCCACCCACCCATCCATCCATTCATCCACCCACCCACCCATCCATCCATCCACCCAC